AGGGTTTTGCCTGGAGAGTCAAGCGGCCGATTTAATGTGATGGCAAATATACATATTTTTTGTTTAGTCTTGTTGGCCTTTGTCTGTGGCTCATCCGGTTTACCTCATTTGTCTATACACATTTATCCTGTTTAACAACCATTTTTATTTTTGTAAGATCAGTAGTAATGTCTCCATATTAACTCCTGATTTTGGTAATTTCAGTTTTCTTAGTTCATTTACAGGTTTATCAGTCTGGTTAAATCCTGTCAAGGAACCAGCTAAGGGTTTCGCCATTTCTCATTCTCTGTTCCACAAATCGCTGCTCTAGCCCTGTTTTCTCTATGAACATTGACAGCAACCAATTCCTCACCGCGAGGTTCATTTTTTTTAACAGCAGCTCATCAGTTTTTCGTTCCTGTTGTTCATTTGCGTTTGTTGTTGCTGTTTTACAAGGCAGAGTTAGAGTCACAAGGATTAAAAGAAGAAAGGCACCCAGGAGCATGCAATCGTGAGAGCAAGGAAGCGGGCTTCTCCAAGAGAAGTTTGCAGACTGTGGCTTTGCCTAGTTGAGCATTGCCGAGTTTCCTCACTGGTTTTTCTCTGACCCATGGTTGAGGAGTGTGTTGCTGGGCTGGCAGAGCTTGCTCTGGAGCCTGTGGTGGAAGGACCAACTCCTGAAAGCTGTCTTCTGACCTCCATATGTGCACTGTGGTGTATGTGCACCCACATTCATACCACACAACCTAATTTTAAGTGTATATTTAATTTCCACAATTTGTGACTTGTTTTCTTCAGTGGGCAGGGTCTTATCTGGCTTATGCTGACCTTGAACTCCTGATCTTCCAGATTCTATCTCTCAAGAGCTGGGACAGCAAGAATATATACTTGGCTCAGCACTACCTTTAAAAATATTAACTGATTGAACTGTTAATTTTTAAAAAAATATTTATGTATATGGATGTTTTGCTTGCATGTGTGTCTATGCAATTACTTGTGTGTCTGGTGCCATGGAAGCCAGAAGAGGCTGTCTGACCCCCCTGGAACTGGAATCACAGACAGTTGTAAGCTGTCCTGTGAGTGCTGGGAGCTGAACTCAGGTCCTCTGGAAGAGCAGTTGTGGGAGCCCACAAGTGACTCAGTTTCCATCTGGAGTCTGTTGTGACTTGTAAGACATTAGAGTTCAAGCCTGCCTGTTTCAGCCTCCTTGGGAGCCATGAGAAAGTTCTAATGAACCCATGGGAAAGAGCATATTATCTAACTAACAAGCTTCTGATGCCAGCCGAAAGGCACATAAAGATAGAGAATGAAGCTGCTTGCTGCTAGCAGGACTCATGGTAGATAACAAGCCTGGCTGCTCCTCTGTTCAAGGACAGTGCAGGGAGCTGGTTAATTGAGTATGCTACTCTTTGTTCTGCTTTGTCTCTAGTCTGTAGATGAGCAGGGACTAAATTAAACTCGGCTGTCCAGTGCACTGAAAGGCATGAATTGGTCTCTTTTATCTGCCGTTTCTCAAGCCTCACGCCCCTACTTAGATAACCCAGCTGACTCGGAGCAGGCTCCGACAAGCAGCCAATGATCTTGAGCCACCTCTGCAGTCTCTATTTGTGTATATTAATGTATGCTTACATGTGGAGGCCGGAAAAGGATATCACATTGCATTTACTCCTTTGAGTAAGGGTCTCTCCTTGACTCCTTGACATTGGGCACATGTTTTCTCAGCCAGACTGGAAGCCAGTAAGCTCCACTCTGTCTGGACCTTCCCTGGGAGCTGAGGTTATAGGCATTTTGTGTGACCCATGGCTTGTTAAATAGGCATTGGAACACAAACTCTGGCTCTTCATGACAACACAGGAAGTGTTCTTAGACGCTGAGCCATCTCCTCAGCCTCAGCATTACTGTCTGAACACAGCAGAAGCTCGGTAACTGAGCAGTTAAGATCTCTGGCTTCTGATGGAGTCAGGGTCAGACCTGAGCCATCACCTGGGTACCCCACAGCTTCGATCTTGGGTCGATTCCTGGACCTCTTTACCTGCCTCCCCAGCTGGACACACGGGAAGCAATGAGAGGCTTCCAGAGGCCAGAGAATTCTGTTCCCCCTCCTTCAGGCTGCTGTCAAGTGAAAGGCACCTTAGCTAACACAGGACTGATTGGGTCTGCATCACATACATCAATACTGCTGGGGAATATCACTCTTTCTTTGTGGGCCACAGCCCTGTCACCTATCCCTGTCTCCTTCCGCTCAAAGATACTTACACAATCTTTATTACCAAAATTTTAATTGTGTGTGTACATGTGCACACACACACATGAATGCATGTGCCTGTGGAAGCCAGCATTAGATCCCAGGGAGCTGGGGTTACTGATGTGGGTGCTGAGAACTGAACTCTGGTTCTTGCTAAGAGCAGGATGTTCTCTTAAATAACTACTGAGCCATCTCTCCAGTCCTAAGACACCTGTTCTGAGGTCTAGGCATAATCAACCCCCCCCCCCCCCCCCCCCCCCCGGTTAGGGTCTCATGTAGCCTTGGCTGGCCTGGAACTTGCTATCTAGCTGACAATGGGCTTGAACTCTTGATTCTCCAGTCCTGGCTCCATAGCACCTTCTTTAGGAAGGCGCTCCTTAACTCCTGAAAGGGATTCAGACCCCTCAGCCCATTTCTGCCCTCCTATGCCATCCACCCACATGGTCCCCAACAGTCATCTAGACTGGTCAAAACAAACACAAGCCCAGAAGACGACCTTGGTAAATCTTTATTCACAAACTCCAGACCCCTAGGCCTGGCTCAGCCAGAGGGTACATTCTTAGCAGTGGCAAAACCCCAATACAATATAACACACTCGTCAAGACCTAACCATTTTAATTTAAAGCATTTCTGGAAGACAAATGCAATTGATAGAAAATATAAAAACTTTTACTGTACAAATTTTACAACATCACATTCAAAAGAAGCAAAGCAATGTGTGCCTTGTGGCCACAGAAGACACTGGGAGCACACACAGATGACATCCTGGCTGGCACTGCAGCATGGCATGGCTATTTCACCCCACTCTGTCACTACAGGGCAACACAGGCTTGTCACTCCCTGCCTGGACCACAAGACAATGGCCAAGGGCCCTGACTGGTATATAGGAGCGACCAAACCAGCACTAGGAATCATGGCGTCGCTGCCACTCTGATGGGTAAAAGTGTCCTTGGAGCTGAAGCTGGGAACTCAGGGTGCCTGGAAAAGGGTGAACATTTTTGCTGGACTCAGACCTTAGGTGGGCAGGCCCTCTGCAGCTCAAGCCTTTATTGCCTTCACATTGGCTATGGGGGCTAAATTCACAGTATCTGTTATCCTTCATGTGTTTCCCAGGAGACAAGGAGAGCACAGAGGAGGCAAACTTTCCTAACCTCGGTTCACAGTCACTTAAGTCAAAAAGGAAGCAGGGGGCCGTGATGGGGACTCTCTTAAATGAAGGGCAGTACAGGGGACATGTGGCAGATCCCAGGTTCCCTGCTATTGGCCCCCAGCTCCTTAAGGCAGGGGCTGTGACTATTCCTATCTGGTCCCCAGCACAAGACCACATTCATTGCAGGGCTCAAAGCTTTCTGCACTGAGATGTTCACAGTACAGAGAGAGACCTGGTTCGCAGTCAGTAGGCTGTGTCATGCCACCTGTGGCTTGGTGCTGAGGCATGACTGAAGGGGCTGGCTCAGATGCCAGTCTGATGGCTCATGTTCTTCCTGTGAGGGGAGGCCGTCACAACAGTCGCAGTGTGAGAGCATGGGCCAGAGGCTTAGGCATTGTGGCCTCTGGGAAGGAAGAGCCACGAGACGGCCACAGAGGCAGCAGCTATGCACTCTGTGGTTTTGGAGTAGGGAGGTCACACCAAGGGCGAGGGTGGAAAGCCAAAGGAATGGGGAAGTGACATGCCGGTCCCATTTCAGAGGACAGAGCTGAACACAGGCTCACAGCTCTTCCTCCTTCCACACTAGGGTCAAGATGCTACTGTCCCAGCTCTCCCGGAGCATGAGCAACCGTGCTGGGGGCGGGGGGGGGGGGGGGTGTGAAGAGAAGCTGACAACTTCTCAGAGAGTAGCCTGTTTTACCAGACTCCTGGACTGCACTCTGGTACTAGGGCAGGCTCTGAAAACGGTGGCTTTAATTGGTGTTTAACTGTGACAGAGACACATGGTCACTCCACAGAGTGACCTACTGTGTAGCCTACTGTCCAAATCTGCTTGTTCACTCCCATTTTGTCCCCACTCTGGTTGTGAAGTCTGACACTGCCCAACCTCTGCTCTGTAGGTGACAGTTTCTGTGGCGCATGTGTGACCTGTCCCAATCCAGCCCCTCTTGCTTGCTGGAATGAACACAAACAGAAGTCTGAGGCTCACAGATAGGGACCTACTAGGTATGTCTCATGCCCCCATCTGAGCTCAGGGCACACACAGGGGGCAGAACGGGCCAAAAGGCTGCAATGAGACTCGGGGAGTGGAAGTGGTGGTGGTAGGCCTAGAATCTTTTGGCATGACACAGACATGAGTTTTAAAGTGCTAGGGTCATCACAGGCTGTATTTGCCACGTTCCCTATTCTCATCAACCAAGAACTCACTGTACACACAGCTGATGGACTAGCTCTGGGCTCTGGGGGTTAACATGAGGCACTGAGGTGTGTATGATGATAGAGGCTGAGTTCCACAGCCTTCGTGCCTGCTTTGAGTGCTCAGAGAAGCAGCAGATGTCTCCACAGATGTGTGTTTGTTTTTCCCCCTGCGGTAGGAGCCAGGCCAAGATCCATCAGATCCATCTAGAAGCCACTTGAATTCAGTCTGTATTTTCTAGTACAAGCCCAGATCAGAGCAAAATCTGAATCCAAACTCTTCAGGAAGTCTTGACCATATCCAGATGGGCTCTTATTCACGGTTTCCTCTGTGAGCTAAGGAAGGCTTGGTGTTCCTTACAGGACAAATGGAGGGACCAGAGGGAGTCAGGGTCAAAGCACAGGCCGTGGCAAACCTCCTGTCATGTCCTTTTTCCCCAGAAGAGCCACATTCATGCAGCTTTTCCTTCTTCTCGCTCAACCCTGGGCCCCTCGCTGCTGCAGGGTCTTAGACGAGGGGTTGTGGGGGGCATTTCTGTTGCTCTGAAGTGCCAGCACCCCTTCTGCAGAGTTATTGATTATTGTAAAACACCAAGCCTGCAGTGCAAAAACCTCTGTGCAAACACTGGCTGTAATGGTGTCATCTGGAGCGGCATGTATGGCTCCAATCCTGAGCCCTACACACCTCTGTAACACGCACTCTTCATGGAGGAGTGGTACTCCTGGTCGGTAGCTTGCCATGCAAGGCTTCTCTGATTCCTCGTGGTGGTGGTTTGCGTGTTTTATAATCATGTTTCAGAAAGGAAGATACCTCTGCACGAACGTGCATGGCCGGCTACATCTTTGGATTATTGGGCTCCAGGGCCCCCAGGCCAAACCTTTCAAAGCGGGGCATGACTTTGCTGTTGTTAATGCTGCAGAGAGGAGCAGAGACATTGGGTTATGGCGCTTCTGGTTTTGACCAGAGTTAAGGAGTTGCTGGCTACGCCTAGCAGAGGATCTTTGTGAGGACAAGTGATCAGTCCATAGCCTTGGCAGAGCTGCTCCTGGCCACCCCAAGTCCTGTGCCTCAGCCACATTCCCTACCTGGTAGGGATAAGGGAAGACAGTGACATGGCTTGCTCATATGACTCGCCAGCACCCAGCATGGCAGTAGCCATTGTGGGCTCACTGAGGCTGTCTCCTCACTGGCTGCTCCGTGCGGATGTGGGACTGGTGAGAGAGAGACCCAGGGCCTGGACCAGGACTGATGCCCATGCTCCTTTCAGAAATGGTGCTCATGTGGGGTCCACTGGGGCCACCTTGGAGCACAATCCTGAGCCCAACTGTACAGATCCAGTCAGGGCCAGGAACCCTTAGCAGATGTGACAGCAGTTCTGCCTCCATCACTGAGCAACAGATATCACTTTGTTTACATTTCTGAGTGTGGCTCCTAAGGACCCAGTCCTTCTGAACTGATGCCTTTCATGGCAACACAGGGTGTGTGTGTGTGTGTGTGTGTGTGTGTGTGTGTGTGTGTGTGTGTGTGTGTGTGTTTTTGCATGCCTACTGTCCTTTGTCTTCAGGAGATAGACAGAGGACTCCACACAGGGCCCAGGACCTCTGTTCTAGCTCTGGACAGCTCTGAACCACTATCCCCTCCCTGGGACATTGTCCCAGGGTCACCCAGCCCCTCCCCATCCTCTGAGCATGCTCAGGAGGGGCTCATTAAGGTGTTAGTAGGGGCTAGGGACCAGAGGAACACAAGCAAGAGCCACTCTTGGGAGAACAAGAAAGAAAAGACCGTCTCATCCACGAAGGCAGCTGAGAGCTGTTCTTCTGCCTTGAGGGGTCACTCTGTTAGTGCCCTCCTCCTCTGGCAGTGACTCAAGTCAGGTACCCATAGGCCATGTGGAGGGGAGGGGCCGTTGTTAAAAACAGAGCACAAGAAGGAGTCTGCAGGGAAGAGACTGGAGCAGCAGAGACGGCATCCCCTGGGTTAGTGCCCGCTGGCGTTTTGAGTCTTAGCGGAAGTCACGGAGCTGAGCTGGCGATTAGGAGGAAGGAAGCCCTGGGGCATGCAAGACAGCCAGGCCTACAACCTACAGAGAGAGAGAAGCGTCAGAACCCGAGCCTCAAGGAGCCAGGGCACAGCACCTGCCAGAGTAGCTGCCCAGGGGCACAGCTGCCTGCAGAGACTAGGACCCCCAACTCCACCCCTCAGAATGGCAGCAGGGTAAGTCTGACAGTTGGTGTGGACACCAGGAAAGGTTTCCAGGTTCCCACAGGGCAGTTCTAGGCACTGCTCAGTTCTTTAAGCCCACAGGTCCTGGTGATGATCAAAATGGCTTCCTAGAGTTGACCACTTTTGCTCACTTGATTCCCCCCTTTATTTCTTATTCCTTTACTGTTACTAATATTTGTAGTGTTGGGGCCCAAACCCCAGCCTCGCATATGCTAAGCAAGAGTTCTACCACAGAGTCTCACTACATAGACCAGGCTGGCCTTGAACTCACAGAGATCTACCTGCCTCTGCCTCTGAAACTGGGACTAGAGGTGTGTATGTGTCACCATGTCCAGGTGCCATTGGTGCTTTTATTTCTGAGATTTCACTATGTATCTCAGGCTGGACCCAAACTTAAATCCCCCTGCCTTAGCCTCCTGGATGCTGGGATAACAGGCATATACTACCACAAATGGCTCACTGGATTATCCTCCTCTGAGCTTCAGACAGAAGTGGGAGCTCATTCTTCCTCACCCACATGCTAGCCCAAGTGGTGCGGAGAGGGGCCCTGCCTGCCACATCCCTCTGGGAGAAACACTAGCCCAGTGGCCCTTGCCGGTGGCCATTTCAGCTGCAAGAGGTCACTGTGGATTATGGGAATGAACACACAGATGTGAGAAGCTAGCATGCAGAGAGAGCAGGAAGGGTAGGTATGCATCAGGATAGGAGGCACACACAGGCAGGAAATGAGAGAATGATGGGAACACACTACTCCTCCAGAACCGGACAGGAGCTCTTAAAGTCACAGCGTCCTTTCCCGTAGTAGCGGCTCCTCCGGCTGCAAGACCATTTCACCAGCAGTTGAAGAGAACCATCGATCGATCCGGTCAAGCCAGTCAGCCGGGCAGGTGACAGCAGCCAGCAGACAGGTGGAAGAGTCAGGGTGGTGAGGCAGGGGAGATGACAAGACGGGCCAGTGTATCCGCCCCCCCCCCCCCCGAAAATGCAGTGACCAAGTGAATGGGAAAGGAAAGAGGAAGTGAGAGTTAGAGGTCCTGTGTTTAGGGAAGCAGAGACCAGGGACAGAAAGCTCACCCTGGCTGTCATGGAAGCCTGGGAGCTGGGAGCTGGTGGACTCAGTTTCCCATCTGTGAGATGAGAAGGTGGGGCTGATTGGTTTCCAGGAACAGGGCCATCTTTGAATGCCATTGCCTGCCCAGTGCAGGCATGGTTTGGTAGAAGAGGAAGCCTGCATTCAGAGGGCCCACATCTACAGCAGCACAGGCCTCAGCCTTGAGGCCCCAGCACCCCTCCCCACTGCCAATGCCAACCCCTCACCTGCCAAGCCTACAGGATTTACCCGATTCTTCGTGGCAAATTTTCTTACCTAAGCCCCACTGTGGAAACAAACTGAGGCAAGTGATATGCTGGCAAAGGGGTGTGGCGGGAGAGGGCCTTTGGGGGAGGAAGTCAGAGAGCCAGAGTAGAAACAGAACAGGACAAAATACAGGGAGGTGACAGCGGCCCCTGCTGCTCTGTGTCTCAGAACACAAAGGACCATGAGCAGAAAGGCTTCTGACACAAGTACACACACAGGAAGTGGCATGGCCCATGAAGGCACAGCAAGACTTCAGTGCTCAATAGCCCAGCAACTAAGTAGGTACCAGCCTAAGTAATAATGATGCTGCTTGTTAGGGGCTGTTTTGGTACCCACACGGTCCTGACCTCTGAGCCTTTCTCCTTTCAGGCATAACTTTCTTACCCTGGTCTAGCCTGGGCCTGGTATCAGTGATGATCTAATACAGTGATGTGTAGATTCCCACAGGTGGGGACTGGAGGTGTTGGCCTGTTAAGGGAGCCTCTATCCCTCTGCTCTGTGGAAGCCCCAGAGCGCAGTCTGATGCAGGTCCAGCAGAGGGCGCCCTCGAACACTGCAGACAAGCTCTCCAGGCTCTGATGGGCAGGTCTGGCTTATGGAGGGAGTACTTACTCAGCAGACTTCCAAAAGTGCCCAGGATGGGAGAGCCGCCTGTTCAGCTTGGGCAGCTTCTCCAGCATGTCCATCAGCAGGCTGAAGCTGGGTCTCTCCTGCAGGTCGAAAGCCCAGCACGCAGACAGGATCTCCTGTAAGGGGCACAGTGGTGTGTGGGCAGCTGGGAGGGAGGAAGGGAGGCACGTGGATAGGACATTTCATAAGGGTCCCTGTGAAGTTCCCAAGTGCCCCGCACAACCATGGGCGCAGAACCCTGGGAAGTGTTTCAGATGAGCCACCAGCCTTCCAGGTCAAAACGAACCTGCCTGCTCTCCTTCCTCAACTTGTCCTCCCCAAATGCGAGTGACCAAGTCAAGCAGAATGGAAACAGGAGAGGGGGAAATGAAGGCAGGCCCTTGCAAGATGGAAGGCACATCGGATGAATGTGAAGTGTCCCTAGGTGAATGTGAGGTTCTGGGAATCTATAAAGGGTGGAGCTGCCACAAGGGGGCGTCGCAGTGCTACCAGAGACGAGGAGAGTGAGCGGGACAAGCAGTAAATACAGGAGCAGCAGCTGTTAACCTGCACCACAGCTGCCATGATGGAAGGAAGGCTTTCTCTTAGGGTTCACTCAGCTCCAAAGCACCTTCTGCAGCCTTGACACCCAGGAGGGCAGCCTGCACATGTGGCCATCACAAGACACCCTCCACCCCGGGCTCAGCAACACAGGCTTTTGTCCTTAACTACAATGACCCCTGTGTCTTAAGAAAGCCGAGACCCTCTCTGTGGTCCTTTCCAGGTGGGTGAGTGGAGGGCTTCCCTCTACTCACGCCGACTTCCTTCCCCAGGCTGACGGATGCCAGAATGCGCCTCACTCCTTCCCCACTTCCAATCTGCCAGATCAAGGCCTCTGCAGGCTGGTGTTTAAAGGGCCACTCTCTTGCCTGTAGTTCATACCACACAGTCCTGTGGAGACACAACACAGTGTGGGCTATCGCGAGCTTCATAAAACCCCACAGGAGGTTTCACGTTAGGAGCCAGAGACAACAGGCCAAAGACAGCCCCTGGCAACAAGGGCCATGGCTGTGATTTCCAGGGCATACTTCCCAGCCCGAGGGCCAGCTCTGTGCCTGAGCACCGGAGACCTACTCACCCGAACGCATAGACATCAGCAGCTTTGGAGAAGGGCAGCTGGTCCTCATCCCTCCCCGGTGCCATTTCTCGTACAATCTCAGGGGCCAGGTAGCACAGCCAGTCATGGGACAGCTTCAGTTGGTTCTCACGCCTGGAGGCCGGGACAAGGGCTCAGTGGGGAGCAGCTGGCCTGACTGTACACACTGCGTTCACTCACATGTGGTAGGAAAGCCCAGAGAGGGACATGGAGGTCTTGAACAGGCTTGGCACTTCTAGAAAGGAGGCCATGGCTGGGAATGGCAGGGAGTTTCTGCTGACTGGGTGTGATTCCCTGTACCCAGAGAGTGGCTGCTCTGTCTAGGACCTCAGGCCTATCTGCAGATGTCAAAACCTGCATACTGACTCTCTTGCCTGTCAATCTTCCTTGAAACCCCACCTCCCATTCTTCCTTTTAAATTATTTATTTTTATTTTATGTGCATTTTTTTTTTTTTTTTTTGCCTGCATGTATGTCTGTGTGAGGGTGTCAGATCTTGGAGTTACAGACAGTTGTGAGCTGCCATGTGGTTGCTGGGAATTGAACCCAGGTCCCTTTGGAGGAGCAGCCAATGTTCTTAACCACTGAGCCATTTCTCCAGCCCTCCACCCCCCATTCTTATGGAGGAGCTTTACTTGCCACCCAACCCCTTTACCACCACAGGATGTAGAATGCTTTTTCTCATCAAGGGGGCATAAGCTGGGTCCCTCACCCATCACTGAGTAGCCAAGCTTCAAGTGCCAGGGAACTCAGCCTCCATGGGCATCCACCTGGAAATCAAGTCCCAAGGGGGACTAAACATCACCCAGACCCAACTCTGGACTGAAACCATATGGGCAGAGCCAGGAACCAAGGCAACCTGGCCTGTGCAGGGAAGGCTCTCGCCAACAATAGAGCCAGGGTTACCCCACACCTGTGCAGTGCTGCAGATCCCCCTGATCCATGCAGACACACATGGACAACTCACCGTTCTTCCCGGACCACGCCAGAGATCCCAAACAGCCCAAAGTCTGTAATGACCACTTTGCCATTGTCATAAAAGACATTCTTGGACTTGAGGTCTTTGTGCACGATGCCCTTGGCATGAAGATACCCCATGCCCTGCAAGACAGCCAACCTTGTATCAGAGGGTGGGGATGCTGAGAGATGGAGCCTGAGCTTCATTCAGGGTGAGGCACGTTACCCATCCCCACATCAATCTTCACACAGCTGTGTGTACAGTGAGTTCTTGGTTGATGAGAATAGGGAACGTGGCAAATACAGCCTGTGATGACCCTAGCACTTTAAAACTCATGTCTGTGTCATGCCAGATGATTCTAGACCTACCACCACTTCCACTCCCCGAGTCTCATTGCAGCCTTTTGGCCCGTTCTGCCCCCTGTGTGTGCCCTGAGCTCAGATGAAGGGATTAAGACTCATAGAGGGCAGGTGTCTTGCCCCAAGTCATAACAGCAGTTAAACATGGGTCCTAGATTTGATCTCATGCTCTTTCTATCCCACTCTGCTGCCAAACAGCCACCTGAGACTTGGGTAAGGTGTGAGGCATGGACACAGTGACTGGCAGTGTGCAGACGTCAAGGAGTATAAAGGTCAGTGAGTGAATGGGCTGGAGATGGAGCTCAGCAGTAAAGCGAGGGCTTAGCACGCACAGTCCTGCGTTCAATACTCAGCATTACCAATCTTAAAGAGCCAGGGCTGCAGGGATGGCCCAGTGGTTAGGAGCACTTCCTTCTCTTGCAGAGGACCAGAGTTCAGTTTCCAGCACCTGCAAAGGGTGGCTCACAGCCATCTGTAACTAGTTCCAAGGAATGCAGTGCCCATTTGTGGTCTGTGTGGGCAGCAGGGACACACTGGCACATACAGTCACAGTCACACAGACACAAAGACATACCCACACACACGGGGTGGGGGGGGAGAGAGAGAGGAGGGAGGGAAGGAGAGGGAGAGGAAGAGAGTGTGAGAAAGAGAGACTTAGAATCAGATATGAGTAATAATACCATCCAGACTAGGGCAAAGGGACACAAATGAGCAGGCTCTCAGGAGTTCCCTAGCTGGGCTGGGCTCTTAGGCAGGATGACACTCAGGGCAGGTAAAAGAGACATTCCTAGGATGCGATCTAAAGTTCAGCCATTTCTAACATCTCACCTTGGTATTAGGGGCCCCAGATGAAGTCTGAAGTCTGAGTTCCATGCTCTATCTGCACTCAGCTAGCACTGTGTGGCTTTGGGCACAGGACTGACCCCTTTGAGACTGCCTCCACACCCATCAGGTGAAATGCAGAGGGTGATTTCCAGCAGCAAGTGCTCTGGCCTGACCATTCAACAAGGGTCAGGCACACAGAGCCCATGGCTCAGGTGCTGGAGTGGCAGGTTCTACCGAGGGGCTGACTAAGGACAAGTAGCTGTCCCTTTCTGAGGCTTACTCACACCACAGGCACTATGTGGGGCTTGGTGGGTTACACTTGTCATCCTAGCACTTGAGAGGTGGTGGCAGGCCATCCTCAGCTACACAGTGAGTTTTAGGAAAGCCTAGGCTACATGAGTGCCTGTAACGGAACAAAATAAAACCACCCAAATACACAAAACCAGGAGTGACATCTGGAAAGGGCCAGGTGAAAGACACAAGCTCCAGAGCTGAGCCTGGACCGTCAGTCTTCTCCTCAGATTTCCCAGGTTCTCCACGGTAACCCCCAAGTTGCAAACCCTCTCTCGGAAGGTCAGGTCCCTCTGCTCTGCCTTTGACTCTCAACACATCTCAGATCACTCCAGAAAGGAAGTAAGCAGGGCTGGGGTGGGGGCTGAGCCAGTGCCCCCAGGGGCAAGAGGAGACCTTTCAGACCTTTCAGCGGGAAGGGAACAGAAGGAGAGGCTGCAAGAGGTAACTGACTCCAGAGCCTCTGAGTCACTTTCCTCCTGGGCCCTAGAAGTGGCCAGCCTGGCCCCTTAACTCCTGTGACTCAGAGGGCAGCTCCCAGATCTGAGGGAGGATCGTGAGTGGGGAGGGGTAGGATTCACGTGGGGGTGGGGGGCGGAGCAGAGTCCTCGGTGAAAGACTGCACCTGAGGCAGAGGTGACACTTTGGGTTTTGGTCTTAGAGGTTTAGTCTGAAATCTTGGTTTGTCCCCAAATACCATTATTACTTTTATGTTTTTCCTCCCTCCCTCCCTTCCTTCCTTCCTTCTTGTCTTTCTAATGGTTTTTCAAGACTGGGTTTCTCTGTATAACAGTCGTGGCTGTCTTGGAACACACTTTGTAGACCAGGCTGGCCTTGAACTCACTGAGATCTGCCTGCCTCTGCCTCCCCAGTGCTGGGACTAAAGGCCTGGGCCATCACTGCCCAGCCCCACGTGTGGGTCTTTTGATGCCCTGAAGTGAAATACTCTGTTTCCTACTGATGATGCTGAGAAACCCTCACCATGCACTAGCTCCCTGCCAACTGTGCTCTGTACGGACGATTTCGCTGTCTCTGCTCTGACCTAATAAAGGAGACTGTATAGGTATTTACAGGGGAGAAAGCTGAGGCTCAGAGATGCTAAACAAGTCTGGTGAGGTCACAGCTAGAGTGATACCATCTTTAGAACATGCAGAGTTTCTTCACAGCTAATTCAATTCTATTATCACCAACTGAGTAGCAACTCTGAATTTGATTGGATGAGTCAGGGAACCAGGCTGAAGGGCCCAGCTACGAGACAGAGGAGCCACAAACTGCCTGGGGTTAGGGCCAAGAGCTCTAGAGGCAGCTGGAACCCTGACCTGAATCCCACTTTACCTTGATGATCTCCTGGGCAATCTGCCTCGTCTTGTTGATGTCCAGAGATGTCTTGGGGTCCCTTACGAATGAGTGCAATGTCCGCCCCTTGCAGAAACTGTTGAGGGTAGTAAGGGTTGGAATGAGGCCTGAAGCTGCTACAGGCTGACCCTACCCCCATGGAACCTGTGAGGGGAATTGGGCCCTGCTTCTGGAAGGTTCTCCATCCCAACCAATACAAGCCATGAACATCTGTTTTTTTAAACCAAGACTTCAGCTGGAGCCTGGCTAGACGTGCTCACACACACATGCCCACCCATTTCTGGAGGTTCAGGGTCTGCCAGCTTTCTCTGCACAAGGAAACAGCTCATCCACACTCCTAGCCATTCAGGGCTGAGCAGGAGAACTCAGATGGGGAAGAACTTGGCTTCCAGGACTCTCAACAGGCTATATGGAACCTCTCGGGCTCACTATGAGGACTGCCATTTTCATTATATGTAGATCCCAGCCACCACATTCTGTGGCTAACTGAGTATTGCATGTTCCTCTCTGTGCAGACCCTTTCCTCTTTGGGAAGAGGAGGCTTGAACGAGAGGAGGGTGATGGATGGCAGAGGAGGCTACAGAGCTGGGGCACCCCTGGGGACTCAATGTTTCACTTTGAGCTGGAATTTTATAGAATGGATCAGGGGACTCTAGTGACTGGATACTGTTTAGCAGTTCTTTATCTCTGAAAAAAAAAAAAAAAGCCAAAACAACAACAACAAAAACCCTCATTTATTGTATTAAGAAAAGAAAAGAAAAAGAAAACACACAAAAAAGCCAAGACATTTGGGACGGTTTGCTTGCTTTCCCCAAAGCACAGGGTCCAGGTACAGGACACCTCATAATGGTGAGGGCTTTCTTGGCTTCGTGGAATGGAAGTCATGAGTACCTGAGTTTGGTTCCAACACCAACTTAGAAAACTAAATTTGAAACTGGGCATGATGGTATATACCTTTATTCTCAACACCCAGAAGGCAAGACAAATCTTAGTTTGAGGCCAGCCTGGTCTATATAGTGAGTTCCAGGACAGCTAAGGCTCTATTGAGGGACCATCGCCTAGGTGTGTGTTTGGCAATACATGCATCTGTAAACCACAGTGCTAGGATCCAAACTCAGGTCCCCAAGCTTACAGAGGAGTTCTTGCCACCAAGCCTTCTCAGGCCCTTTGTCTCATTTTAAAGTCAACAGTGTCTTAAGTGGCATAGGCGACTGCTTTTGTATCTAGGCCAGCAGCTCTGGAGAAGGACATTGTTTTACATGGAGAATGACAAGTGAGCCACAGAATGCTTCCTGAAGGATAAACAGGCAATACACATTAAGATACCAAAATGTAGGGACTGGGGTACAACTCAGCACAGCGCTTGCTGAATGCACAAGGCACTGGGCTTACCCCAAGGTAGTGCATGCACACCGAAGTAGACCTTAGGTCTACAATCAACCAACAGAAGGATAATCCTAGTTATGTATTTTTAAATTAAACTACTTTTTTTTTGTGTATGTGCATGTGTGCCCATACCACAGCATGCCTGTGGTGGTCAGAGGACAGCTTATGGGAGTCAGTTCTCTCTCCACGGGTTCTGGGAATCCAAATCTAGTTGTCAGATTTGTGCCCTTACCTGCTGAGCCATCAGCTTTATTTTAATGAAAGGAATATTGAGATTTTAACCATACTCACCTGTCTGGGGAAGTGTCCAGGCAAGGTGGTATAAGCATAGCTTTGTGTCTTTTATAAAACACTGGGATTTTCTTTATACTCAGATGGTCTGTTTATTATGTCTCTGTCTCTCTCTTTCTCTTTTGAGGAGAGACAAGGCTATCTTAAAGTCAAGATTCCCCTGTCCCAGCCTCCAAGCTGCCACACCCAGCTCTGATGTTTTGACATCAGTGGACAGTATGGATGGAGACATGATTCTTTGTCTTTGGTTTTCCGCTTCCTCTATCTAATAACCCTTCCACATCCACAGAAGCTGCAGGCTTCAGGGACAGGGAAGCCATGCTGCTCATGGCTTCCCACCCAGGTGGGGTGGCTTACCTGGTGATGATGGCCAGGTGGGGTGGGTTCATGCAAGCTCCCATGAAGAGCACCACGTTCTCATGCCTGGTCTGCCTGTAGTTCATCACCTCTTTCTTGAACAGCTTCAGGTGGTCCTGATTGTGGCCGTCCATCTCCAGCAGCCGAATGGCCACCTCGCCATGCCATCGGCCTCGGTGCACCCGGCCCCAGCGGCCCTGCCCAATGGGTTCGCCTAGTTCCACCTGTTCAAAAGGGATGTCCCACTCCTGTAGGTACACACTAGTCTGGCTGGCTTTTCGAGAGATGGGGCCCCGCCAGGGCCGGCGGGAGCTGGGGAGATCATCCACCTCATCCTCATCATCTTCTGCCTCAGACTTGCCAGCCTCAGGCTCCTCAGCCTGAAAGAAGACAGAACAGAGAGGGGGTGAGCCTGCGTCTTCTCTTCCTGGAGTGCTGGCCAGGTACCACCAAGCCCAGCACCCTGGCCTCCTTCTGGTAGTCTCCTGCCTGAACTACACAGCTTTGATACCTATGCCCTGCCTCCCAGCAGCAATAGCATCCTAAGCCATGCTGCTCTGCAGAGACCCAGGCTTAATTCATATTTCTGTTTGAAGGTTAGGACGGTGGCTTCTTTCTGGGTCTCATGTAGCCCAGGCTAGCTTCCAACTTGCTGTGTAGCTGAGGATGACTTTGAACTTCTGATCCTCCTACCTCTGTCTCCTCAAGGGTCTGGGATTACACATGGGCACCACCACACCTAGTGAAGATTAAGATGTTGGTCCTTGACACCTTATCAGAGCTGCCTGTCAAGCTCTGAGAACAGAGAGATGCTTACCCCTGTCCCCGGCTGACTGAACTAGGCCTGTGGGTTGAGATTGAGGCCAGGAGGATAAAGAGGCTCCTGCAGGTAGCGCTTTGCACTATTCTTCCCTTCTACGCACATCTACCCACACCTGCTGCAACAGGCACACACCTCATCCCCATGGCCCCCACCGACCCTGGGCACCCTAAGAAGAGAGGAGAGGGAGGCAGCTAGCTACCTTGGCTCTCATGCATGTCACTCCTACTCACCTCTGCTTCATGGACACCCAGCACTTCTGCTTTGGGCTGGTCCTCGAGCCTAAGAGTGAAACGGGCTTGGTCAAGGATGTCCTGGGCTGGGCTAGGGTGGCCCAGGGTGAGGCAATGTGAAAGCTGTGGACACAGGCAGGAGGCTGACTGGAGGGAATGGGGACGAGGGGATGGGCAGCTCGCACCCTGGCACATACGGCCCATGGCTTCTGCCTTTGAGACCTGGTCATCACCTCCTTCAGGCATGAATTTATGTAATTTAACCCCCTTAAGTGGTTGCACTTAAAGACCTACTTCACTGGCTGAGAACCAAGGGACTGGGGAGCCAAGTGCTAACAGCAACCTGATGGAGAGCCAGAGACAGGAGAGATGTTCAGTAGGTCTCTGTTCACCTATATTTCCTCCTGGGCCACCAGCCTCCTTCTGCTGTACACAAGTCCCATACAGTGCTCACTGTACCGACAGGAGGCAAATCAATCCCCAGGCTCCAAGGATGAAACAGGCCTGCTCCCCACCAGGCGGGCACAGATCCGGAGGGTCAGATATGTAGGGTGGGTTGGGAGGTGGTTCATACCGTGTAGTGTCGGTTGTGCTGGAGAGCGGGGCTGCCTGAGGACAGGCTGAAATGTCTGCAGGGAAGAGAACAGGAGCAAAGCGTGAGTATGCTTTCCTTCATCTCCAAAGGCTAGCACACCGGGGACAGCCCTTCTCCCCTGAGCTGTCACCGCTCCTCAGGCCACTTCCACCAGGATCGGCTCATGCTCTGCAAGCTCACACAAACTCAGTCTACAAGGCTGCCCCAGGCAGAGGCTCTGGGTGAGTGACTCTAGAGAGACCCCAATGATTAACACCACTGCTGGGCCCAAATGACCCACAAGGGGCAAAAGCTAGCACTGCCACCTCTGCACAGGGTCCTTCTGGTGGCTATGTAGCACCCGGTAACACAGGCGACACCTGGCACCTAGTGTAGCTGCTGGTCCCCGCTCCTGACTCTGGGATTGGGTGGCTGGTGTCCCAACTATGCACAGGAGGAAATCCACACCAGGAAGGAGGCTGCAGGCTGGTCCAGCTGTAGCACAAAGACCCACCTCTAGGATACCAGAAACAGACACACCCCTCCCCGAGTGGAACCAAAGTCCAAAGTGCTACACGAAGTGTGGTGGCAGTGAGCAGGGCCCCCTCTCTCAACAAAGAGAAGCAGGAAATGGCAACAGCTCGAGCTACCAGCAGCCCTTTCCTGCCCTGGACAAAGACCTTCCCTACTCAGCCCTCAGTTAATCTCCTTCACTGGAAGATTTTCTCCACAGCTGCCTCTGAGAGTCAGAGGGGCCAGACTCTGACAGACAGAAGCTGTGGGCCTTCGTATGGCGCAATGCACCCATGTGCACAACATGCTGGGCAGTGTTGGGGTCCAGGGGCCTCAGAAGCATCCGTTACAGCCTCTCCAGACACCTCCATATCACCTCCAGATTGCCAGGCCTGCATTTCCACACATGCTCAGGCTACTCCAGAGGCTACCTGTGTCTTGGGGGAGGTGTGGGACGGCCCGTGTCTGGGAACCCTCACACTTGTCCTTCACAGAGTGCATTATGCGCCCTGTTCTCATGCGTTCCTTTTTCATTAGAACTGAAGCCCCACCCCTACCTGCAGGGCAAAACAGGCCACGCAGGGAGAAGTGGTCCCCCAGTGGAGGGGACACTAGTGTGCATACACACCCCAGAGCTGGTAATTAGGAGCTCTGGGGAGATGGGGGAGTCACACGAAATGGGCAGATCCCCCAAGCTCCTGGCAGACCCCACACACACCTGAGCAGAATTACAGGGATAATGATTACTGAATGCTCCAACTTGATTCTTGAAGGGAGCAAATCTGGAGAATAGAAAAGCCTGGAATAAGCAAAATACTGGGGCTTCTAGTCTTGGCAAATCAGAGAAAAGCATCAATTATATAGCCTCGAAGGTGAAGGGGTATGGGCAAATACAGAAGTGGGCAAAATAGTTTTTGGAGAAGGGAATCAATCCAAGGATTGCCTCATTGAATGGAAATTTTTCCCTTCAAGCTTTCTGCAATGAGGTAGTTCCTTTGATTACCAGCAAGTGGCACTGTGTGCTAAGGCTGGGAAAGTCAAAGCCTGCTGAGAGATGATGACATTGCCTGGAAGATTTTTCACATGGTACCAGCAAGTAGCCCCCTCCCCTCATTCTGCAAGTGAGTTCTGAGTTCTCATTCTTCTTGTGTCACTTTTGGGCAGTGTGACCTTGAGCCAGTTCCCTGCAGCCTCCAGGACTTTCTCACCCTCTTGCCCAGCTGAAGTGGGCTCAAGTGTATAGGGAGAAGGCACCAGGCAGGATAGACAGAGGGTCACAGCAAGGGACAGTGAGTGGACCCATGCAGAAGACTCACCTGGAAAGATAAACTGCTGTCTATGATGAATGAAGTAGGCAGCTTAAAACAGAAGAGGAGGTGAGTCACACAGTGCAAAGCCAGCGCGGGAGGCGGGGTGCATGGACTTGGGGGGCAGGTGCTGGTTATTGGCTTAGGAGGCTCTGCCCCGGGGGCTCTGGTGAGAAAAGGCGGAGCCATGCAGGAAAAAAGGAACCGAACTAGAGGAGAATCCGAGTGTGGCAAGCCCAGGAGTGTGGCAAGCCCAGGAGCAGAGGGGCTGTACGGGCGGTGCAGCACGGGCCATCTCAGCGGTCACCTTGCTGCACAGCCCTGGCCAGGGAGCACTGGGAAAAGCTCGGACGATGTCCAACAGTGTGTGCAGAGTAGCCTCCTTCCCTTCAGTCTACCCTGACCCACAGGCACCTTGACCTCCCAGTTTGAGCTCTGGATCCTCCCAAGGTACCATTGCAGGCCACTTGTCCTGTCTCTGACAAGGCTTGCTGTCTTGTCTGCACTGGTTTTAAACCCATGGGCCCCATTCTCCTGCTGAGGCCTTGCAAGTAGTTGGGACTCTTGGTGAGTCTAACCTCAGCTCTCCTCCATAAGGCTCTGGGGCGTGGGGAGGCAGTTAGCCCCCTCCCCCACCCAGTGCCTCACTGTGAGTAGGGGAATACACCAGCTTGCCCAGGCTTTCCTGTGAAGGGCAGTGGTGAGGCTCCTGGACAGCACAGGGTAGGTAGGTGGCATGAGTGGTCCAAGGTTCTTCCCTGTGGGCCCATCCCAGCCCCCCAGAGAGATGTTAATGAGTCCACTAAGATCACGGACAGGGTTAGGCCCATTTCCCTTACGGGTCATCTGTGTAAGTGGACAGGACCTAATCAATATCATAAAAACATTTTTTTTTTTTTTTCTGTATCCCTTGTCTTTTCAAACCATCCCTTCTTAGGAAAACTCAAAGCAGATGGTTTAGCAAGAGACTTGTTCAGAGTAATGGCAGAATGGAACTGGGAAGGGAGCTAATCCAGGGCCACTGCTCAGCCACAGGGTGGGGCAGTGTGCGGGGCAGACATCACTGTTAAGAGCACTCCAGCCATGAGCATATTAAGGAAGGCACTGGAACAAGTGGCAGAAGAGTCCTACCCTTTGGCCCCTCACCATCCCCAAAAGTCCCAAATTCCCCGCTGGGCCCAGAGGCTGCTTGGCCAGCTGCTGCCTGTGTACTGGGTCGGTGCGAGTTGAGGGGCGTGGTGGCACTCTAACTTTCTGGGTTTAGAATCAGGGACCAGTGACAGGGATTGATCTGGACCCTGTGGGTTACAGCAAACAGGAACATCAGAGCTGCAACTCTTTGCCCTGGCTCTGATGGCAGAGCTGCCTTTGCCAAGGATGCCACAGCTCAGAGCCATGTGGCTAAGTGGGCTTTGCTTCCTGGAGACAGGGAGGCCCTGTGTGGCTGACTGGAACAGAGGGCAAAAGAGGATGAAATCCTGGCCTCTCCCTGCAGTCCCAGGGCAGCTGGGCTCAGCTCTACCCTCCAGAGTTGCCCCAGAGCTCACTGCCTTCACTTGCTCAGTGGAGACCACCTCATTCTAATTCCCCAAGGTCTCTGGGGATGTGAGGTCTTGTCTGAGTATCCAGACCCAATCAGAGAACTGCATATGCCACAGAAGCCCAATGCCCTTTTGTAGGTTTTCTGTTCCCCACTGTGCCTGTCACATCACCTTTGAGCTCAGAAGGCATCCCTGAGAAAGGGTGATGCTGGGCAGAAGCCACCACAAGAACAGGCAGGCAGTCTGGAGTTACCCCAAGCACCCAAGCTCTGCGTTAGACAGTCTTGAGTCTGGCCCTGGCAATGCCACTGCACAATGCAGGGTTGGCCACTCCTCCTTTCTTAAGCCCAGCAAACTCATCTGTAAGACGGGTACACCAGCATCAATCCCGCGCTCAACAAATGCTCCGCAGACACAGCTCGCAGGGGACACCGGGAGGTCTGAGGCCATCCCTTAGGACCTAGAAAAGCCCAGAGGTGTGGTACCTGGGAAGTTGAACCTGCTGTCCCGCTGGCCAGGTGATGGGTTGGGGGGCGTGGTGGCACTGGAGGGGTTAGATGAGGTCAGGAAGGGCGCTGGTGATGAGGGTGTGGAGGATGTGGTGGAGGATGGGTTGCTGCTGGAGTCCAGGTTCATGGCTGGAGGATGCTCCTGCAGGACCAGAAATGCCAGGATGGGCAGGGCTGCAAGCTCAACTCAGCAGCTGCCAACCTGTTGGAGACCTCCTTTTCTCCCCCCTCCTTCCAGCTCCAAGGGTGGAGGTCAAGTCATAGATCCTTGGGGCCCTGCTCTGTAGCCCCACGATTTTCTGGGCCTAATATATGATGAAAAGATACTTAGAGACCCTCCCCTAATGATCCCTGGCCATCTTTCTTACTGTAGTTCCTACTTCCCCCTAAAAACCCATCTGAACCCTAGCTGGAACTATGTATGCTCTTCCTCTGTATCCTTCCACAGCTCCCAGCATTTCTGCATCCAGGCACCCTAACATACATACACTTTGTCAGCTGCAGACAGCCAAGGTTGGTTTGCTGACGACCATCTCTCCCACCCCAGCACCCACCTGGCTCTGAGCTGGGCACCCAGTTTCTTGATGAATTGAATTCATACTCTGACCAACATTTTTGCAGCTTCTGCTATGTGCCAGGCCCTCTGCAGAAGGTGGTTGACAACAAGGCACGGAATCTGTGGTTTCATGATCTTGTCCTAACAGGACAAGGGCCCTCAGAGAACCCGCAAAACTCCGAAGAGTCAACAGCTTGAACCAATGTTGTTTGCCATCTTGAAGGGTTAAGAATTCCAGGGCTGGAGGCTGGGGGCTGGGGGCTGGGGATGCAGCTCAGTTGGTGCGATGCTTATCTAGCACACACAAAGCCCTGGTTTTAGTCCCAGTACTGAAAAAACTGGGCATAGTGGAACAGGCCTGTAATTCCAGCTTTCAGGAGGCAGAGGCAGGAGGATCAGGGAGTCAAAGTCAGTAAATAGGAGTCTGGGCTGTGCTCATTAGGCTCAGACTGTTTTTCTGTCTGCAGATTCATGCAATAGAACCTAGTATGACCCTAGTAGATACCCACTAGGTTCTACCATTTCTTAGCTGGGCAGCTTTGGGCAACTTATTTGAGCTCTCTGAGTTTCCATTTCCTGAGCTACTCAGTGGAAACATCATCACTTATGCCAGAACATTGTGTGGATTTGGAGAAAAATGGAGACCAAGACACAGGAGGTATCTAATGTTTGCTCAACTCTTTTGTAGACCTGCTATCTTGGACCAAACAGTGCTCGGGACCATGTTTTGAAACTTAACCAGGCCAAAAGGTTAAAAGGCCAAAAGACCCAAGACGGGTCCAGGGGCACTCTGGGATAGATGGATTGCAGATCTAGTCCAATGCCTTCATTTCCTAGGGCAGAAGGCAACTCCTTAGACAAAACAGGATCAAAACAGTTAGTGCCACGTTTTATAAGTTTCTCTCTTGTAAGCTCTGAAGGCTGAGGGTGTACCGTATACTCTGAAGCTCATAGACCTGAAGCTGACCTTCCTTGCTAGGTTGGCTGGCCTGACATGGCACCAACTAAATGGCACTCTCTCTTTCTGCTCCCACTCCAAGGCTGAGATGACACCCCCCCCTTCAGTCCCTATAAGCAGGAACTGGCCTGAGAAGAGAGGGTAGTGTCACCTGGGCCACAGGAGCAGGCTGATCCTCTCTCTGCACCTGTGCACCCATAGACAGGTCACAGTGGCTGCACTACAGGCTTCTCGTTCACTTGATGACCCATCCAAATGCTGACTGTCTAGCACGTGTGGGGACAATGTGGACATAAGGGGTGTGTGTGGGAGGGAGCAGTACTGCCTGGCTCACTGGGGACATCTGTGACAAAGGGAATGGGGCAAGGGCAGGGAAGGTGGCTAAAGAAGGAGTTAGAGGGGAATGGGACAGATATTATTCCCACCCCTGCTGCAGCAACAGTGGCCCCATCCCAGCGCCTGTGCATGAAGCACTGTTATCCCTGTTCCAAACAATCTGTGAGCGAAGCTCAGAGAGGTCTAGCAGCTCATTTAAGGTCACAGAAGCACAAAAGGGACAGTGGTGACTCAGTCAGGGCTGAGGACCTGTGTGTCTGTGTTCCCTTCAAGGTCAGCATGTTGAAAGTCAGCGCCCCCCCCCATGGTCATGGTGCTAGTGTTGGTGGGTAGGGTCTGTGAGGCTGCTCAGACCACAAGGATGGGAGAGTCTTTACAAACAGTCACTGCCCTGAGCACTTCCATTATGTGAAGACACAGTGAGGGACCCTGAGGAATGGGCTCTGGGAAGCCTGGGACTCAGTCTCTGCAACTGTAACATGGAACAGGCACATACCTAGGTTTTTGGTACAAAGTAGGTGTCCAGGAATGCTGGATCACAAGTGCTGGGGGTTAGAGGTCATGGGTATCACCACATACAACTCCAGCATGGACAGAACCGCACCTACTATGTGGCTAAGCCAGGACTCCTGGCGTGCCCCAACCTTGGCTGTGCCGCAGATCTTGGATTGCAGTGTGGTGTCCCACTTCCCCAGGAAGCCTGATGATGAGGTGCTTTGTGGAGGGAATCTAGGGCTTGGGGAGGCATTGTTCCCTGACACAAGTTCAGGTCACAGGGCACTGCCAACTTACCTTCTTCGTCAGGGCCTTGGGAAGGGTTCCAAAATGGGGTTCTGATGCTCTGTCCACTGGGTTGTTGATGTCTGAGGGGACAGACTCTGTCCTCCGAAGCCTGGCTACTGCTTGGAAAGGAGGGAATCCGTTAGCAGGAATAGGCCATGGAGATGCACCTGATTCCCGGAAGTATGAGAAGGGAGGAGCTGTCACTCACGTGGGAGGAAGGATATTCTGCAGGCAGGGGCTTCCTTGGTGCACTTGTTGTGACATTTCAACCTGCACAGGAGGAAGAGTCAGCATTCCAAGGGGCATCCCAGAATTGCTCAGATGACCCTGACACAGCCTCAGTTTCCCCCAAACAAGTTCCCCCCAAACAAGTGTTAACTCCAAGGTGTGGGAGTACCCTGTGTGCCATAGCCACTGTGTTCCATGTCCCCACAACCCGCTCCCTTGCTTTTAAAGGGGAACTTCCTCCACTTTAGAAAGCTTGGGAAAATCTGACCTTAAAGAAACATTCTAGAGAGGCCACCAGCATCATCAAGGGCTCTGGGGCCCCCAAGGGTGTCCCCCTACAGGCACTGGCTAGTCTGATGGGCAGTCCCCAGCCAGGAATGGAAAGAGCTGTGTTCCCCTTTGGGTCTGTTCTGCCATTCTAAGTACAGGACAGTGTGGCTCAGGGGCTGCCATGGGCTGGCCACACCTGCATGGAGCTGAGGATCTCATTTATAGCCAGTTTCCTCATAGATCATCAGGACACAAGTCATCAGGCTGGCGTGCATGAGACCCTGTCACCTTAGTTCTGATGACAGCCCAGGAGCTGCCACTCATAGCAGCTCAGATGAGCTGCACAGAACAGCATCCCAGATGTCTGAATGGTAAACATGAATCCCAGAAAGGGTAAGTGCCTTACCCCATGTCACACAGCAACATCAGGGTTAGGGTGGCTGGGAACTGAGACTCCAGGCTACCCTCTGGAAGGTGTGTGGGCAACCAGATGGCAGACTGTTGGTCCTTACTGTTCCTTACTCATATCCCTTCCCACTGGAAACCATAATGCTGTGACACAGCAAAGCTGGGTTGGTATAAAATCTCATCTCCCTCACTCTGCCCAAGCATAAGGCAAATCTGCTGTCACCACCCATCCCATCCCTGCAGCCCACCTCCCAACCTCAGAACTCCTTGTAGGCCCCAGAATCCTTACTTGTTTGTTTATTTTTGGTTCTACAAGACAGGGTTTCTCTGTGTAATCCCAGCTGTCCTGGAACTCACTCTTTAGACCAGGCTGATCTCGAACTCACAGAGATCCTCCTTCCTCTGCCTCCTGAGTGCTGGGATCAAAGGTGTTTGCCACCACTGCCTGGCTGAGTCCTCACTTTATTCCTTGCCCCTGAATCCTTTTTTCCTCATTCTACCTAGTAAACTTCTCTTCAGTCTTCAAAACCCACTTCAAATATTCCTTTCTTCCAAGAGTGTCTCACTTCACCTCCCTAAGGGCTCCTGAGCACCTGGTGTGCCCAGTGGCATTGTGACCAGCTGGTTAGAGGAAGTCCTTCAAGTGTGATATGACAGGAGGCCAAGAATGAAGTACCGGGGCTATCACAGAGGACACGCACCCACTCCCCACCCCTCTGCCAGTCACCTGCAGTGTTTGCACTTGACTCCGAACATCATACTCTTCTGGCACACATTGCAAACCTGCGACAGCCAAGACTTTGTGGAGAACCTGCAGCGGGTAGAAACGTGTATGCAGATCAGAGCCTGGCCTCTGGAGCCGTCCTGGGAAAAGGAAACTTGGCCTGATCCCAGAACCACAGGAGTTCTGTACTTGGGGGTCACAGCATCTACCCTCCCAACCCCAGGCATCTGGATTTCCCAGCTGCTATCAGTATCTTAAAGTTAGTATGGCCAATGGCATCAAACGTGACACCAGTGACCAAAGCACCGGTGTGCATGTCCTTGGACCCAGCAACTCTAGTCCTTGGCATTGACTCAACATGTTAGTCCCTGGGATGAGATGTCACCTGACATACGGGCACAGAGCTGCTGCAACCATATACCACAGTAAGGCTGGAAATGCTACGTCCACCAGCAGGTGAGCACAGTGCCATCCCTCCAGACGGAGGAACACATGCAGCTCTTTCCACACACGTGCAATCCCCTCCAAATCTCACAGCCCAGAAGACCAAATAAAGTCGAATAGGACATGATGCTATTGCCATGGTCAAACACAGGAAAAGCCCATCCCTGATGACTGACTCGGATGGTGATGGCAGGCAGCAGCATAGTCAATCGGGAAGAGCCAAAGATGACTCTCAGGGTGCTGGAATGTTCTTTATCTTCAACAGCACACACACAGGGGGCACAGCTATAAATGCCATGTATGTTGTACTCTATGTAAATCACATGGATTTAAAGAGGGGAATTAAGCAAAGCACGGAGCTGTAATAAGCGTAGTTTTGTGTGAGAAAGGAAACAGAACATGCATACACACTTGCCTATGTAAATCGCCCCCACATGGTACATGACCTGTCTCGGGCACACTGAGAAGCCAGGGGCAAGGGTGAGAGGGACTTTTCTCTCTACCTTCTGAAAACTCTTCAGTTCTAAGCATATGTACTGTCAGTCTAAAATCTACTTAAACAAAACCAAAATCAATCCAGAAGATAGGCTGGAAGGAGAAATGGGATTCCAAGAGGAGTGGTGTCCTCCAGCACAAAATCACAAGGCCAGTCCGGAAAAATGCAGGCAGCTTTTCATCTCTGGAGGACCATGCTTTCCGAAAACACTGCATCACAGTAACAGCTGAATGAGTGGCGACAGTGTTTGTGGAGCAGTTTGCAACACACCCACAAGCAGCTCACTTGAGGACTACAACCACCTCCAAGAGTTAGGCGGGCTCAGGAATCAACTCAGGGAGGTGGGCGATGGTCTATCCCGGCTGTGTGTGCCCAGAGCCTCTTCCCTGAAACAAGGAGGTGGCGATGGTCTATCCCAGCTGTGTGTGCTCAGAGCCTCTTCCCTGAAACAGGGAGGTGGGCGATGGTCTATCCCAGCAGTGTGTGTCTAGAGCCTCTTCTCTGAGCAGTGAGGTGGGTGATAGCTGGGGCTGTGTGTACCCAGAGCCTCTTCCCTGACAGCAACTGAGAGATTCTGGCATGGACAAGACTCCAAGCAGAGGTCCCCGTGCATCTGGGCTCAGGCTCTGCCCCTATGGCAGTGTCCTCAGATGCACTGCTCAACCCCTGGGAGCTAGAACTCCCCCTTGGGTGAGAACTTGAGGCCAGCATCAGCACACAGCCCACAGTTCCCGTGGAAACCACAGGCTCTAGCAAGATACAATGCCCTTGAGCCCTTGACAGTGTCCACTGTGCTATTACAACAGCCTTTAGCAGGGACAACCAGAGCAGGGCAACCCAAGGCACCATCCTGAATCCATCCAGAACTCCGTGGCCAGCACACTCCAGTCTCATGGGCATTGAGGCCAGACCTCTGGATGGTCCTTGCCATAGGTCTCTAGTGGTCCTCTTTCATTGTACAAACATCAATCTCTGGGACTGTTAAAACCCAGATTGTTGCTAGGTGAGATGGTGCACACATTCAACCCTAGCAGTTGTCAGGCAGAGGCAGGAGGATCTCTGTGAGTCTGAGGCCAGCCTGGTTTACACAGCAAGTCCAGGCCAGCAAGGGCTCTATAGTGGGTGAGATCCTGTCTTCAAAACAATCCAGCTGGCCAGGCAGAGAAGCATATGGGCAGGGTCTGGGAACATGGATTTTCAACACAATCCATAAGGCCCAGAACCATAATGACACAGAGGTGAATGTGGAAGAAGCTTGTGGCTTCTTCCCAGAACTTCTCTTGAACCTGGAGAAGGTAGGAGAGTGTGTCCCCTCAGCAGGATGAGAACAAGACCCAAGGAGGGGCAGGTGAGGGACCAGAAGGCCCAAAGTCAAGAGCTCAAATTGGGTGCAAGTCTTGTTGCCACAACACAAGCAGGTAGGCTAGGGGCAACTAGGACAGACCCAACAGAGCCCTGTGGAGCCCAGGTCAGCTCTGTACCTCCCCACAGTTGAACCTACCTGTGTGTCACTGAGAGCCCGATATCCCTTCGTACCAGCTGTGGCGATCCATGAGGGAGATCTGTGTGTGGGGGGGGAAGAATCCAGGTTGGATGAACAGAGGAGGCTCCATGGGGCTGTCTCGTGCCTGAGACCTTCTAGCTCAGAGACCACAGGATAGATGGGGCATGATGCTGTGTTGCACAGCTCAGAAATGCTTCACTAAACCAACATCCACCAAAGAGGGATGGTCCAGACCCAGCTAGACAAGGAGAACAGGTATCACCCTCACACTGGATTGCTCTCTAGCATCTGTCTCTGCCCAGCTCTGCAGCTGATACTCTTGTCTACATATGATGGGTCTGCATTGGTGGGAGGCAGCCTGGGGAAGCAGCAGGAGTACAAAGGCAAGGCAAGTTCCTATGCATGCCAGCCTCTTGCCCCCTTTCACAGCCATTTTCCCTTAGGGTTCAATTTTGGCTAATCCTGGTTAAACAGGTAGATACTTGACCTCAGTGGAGGGCACAGGGCTGGCTGATCAGTCACGTGACTCCACCAGCCAGCAGCACTTTGGATCTAGTCCTTGCTGATCTGGGTGGGAAGAGCAAGGGGGGGGGGCGTGGTTCTTCTTGGCCATCCCTTGAACCTTTGGAGACATTTCTGTTTCTCTTCCTCTGCAGGAGGACCATAGGCTCGGAGGGTCCCTTTTGCTTACCTTCTTCAGGTCCCCTGGGGGCTCCCTCTCCTCTAAGAGCAGGCACTCCAGTGTTCATAGTAATGCCGGCTTTGCAAGGGAACCGGCAGCTGGAAACTGTCCATCACCTATAGCCTATTCTCTGAACCCCACTCTCTGAGCCCAAAGAGAAGACTTATGGACCCAGGGCTACTCAGTGCCAAGCAGCAGACTACTGTAGGCTTTTTCCTGGATGGACAGGGTCTGGATTTTAATTCAATGTATCAAAGGTCTCTATAACCCAGAAAAATCAGGAGCACGGCGCTCAGGTGACAAATGTCCCTTGAGTCAGTACACCCACTCCCAGGGCAGCTACAGCCGCTCTCTCCTAATATTCTATTCGTTCACATAGCTGGTGCTCACAACACACTGACTCATCTAAGGCCAGGTACCACAATTCAATAGCACAAGGAGGGACGAAGGTCCTCCCTTCATACATCAAAGAACTGTGATCGTGAAAAAAGATCCTCTGTCACCCTCCTGATGATTGGGAACCCACAACCAGATCACCTGCAGCTCTCTGGCACACCCCTATGAGGCTGTTGCCCCTCAACTTCCTCCTAGGGTCACCCCACTCCAGTCAGTGGCCAAGGCCATCTAAACACATCACTCTGAGAGGTACCAGCTGCAGGGAAATAGTGGGAAAGTGAGAGGCTGTCATCAGGCTCAGAGCCTGACCTGTTTGTCACGTGCGCCACAAGTACGCAGCCATTTGTGCCCAGGTAGCACTGGTCTGGACCTGGATGGAACACTGGTCCTGAGAGCCCCATGGCTTTGCTGCTGTGGTTCTGACACCACCACAGCCACTGTAGAATGAGCAGTGACAGTCAAGGATAGCCTAGGGTCAGAGGAGCTGGCTTTGGTGTTGGTCCTAGAGAGAGAGAAATGCAGGTACCCTCCTCTCCTTACCCATGGCCTTCCTGGAACCCTGCAGCAGCTGCTCAAGGACTGTCACTGCCTGCCGAGCCCTGCCTGCCCTCTCTCCCTGGGCCTCTTACCCCAGCCACTGTTATCAAGTAGCTGGTAGAAAAACAGATCACTGTTTCTCTTAGAAAACCCCAGACATCACAGCTTCAACACTCAGGCCACCCAAAGCAGACTCTGGGGGCCCAGCTGACCCCTCTGCAGTTTGTGAGTATGTGAGAGAACCTGACCCCAGCTGGAGATGGAGGGGAGGGGAGGGGGGCACCAAGGCTGCCTGGGCCTCCTTTTTCTCCTCCAGGGACTTCCACCCTCAGATTTGGAGCTGCCTCTGGGAACGCCTGTCTCCTAGAGAGGGGTCCCCAGACCTCAGCAGGGAACCAGGTGGACGACATCTCCCACCCAGAGCACAGCTCTCTGAAAGGAGTAGGCACAGGTGTCACAACAGGGATGGCAAGATGGAGACAGGCTTGGTATGGGCTCATGTGAGCCCAGACACTTTCAAAGTCTCCAGTCCCCACGGACTAGGCTAAGGTCAGCCTGTCACTTAACACCAGCTGTCTTAGAGCTATGTCATGGAGTGGTTGCCAAAACTTCTGCTTCTGGACTACGGAATAGCCCGCCAATGAGGCCAAGGTGGGGTCAGAGAAATCCACCCTAGACAGGTACAGCGACTCGAACATGACTTCCAGTGGCAGAAGGGATGGAAATGAATTGTGCTTACCAAACCTGGAGAGACAAAAGGGAGAACAAGGGGGTGACATCACCACGTTGGCTCAGCCTGTCCCTGGAAAATTACCTGGTAATACAGCAGGCCAAAGGCTGGGACAAGGGACAGAGACCAGCTCTGTGTAAGCCTTGCTAGCCACCCAGCATAGCAGATTCACTCCCTATTTACTACCTGAGGAAACAAGCTCTTCCTCGGTTATGTAGCCCATGGGGGTGGGTGCCCAAGGTCCAGGAAGAGGGGGTATGTTAGAGGCTGGGAATTGGGTAGGAGAGCAGGGAATCTGCCATGCAGAGCTGAAAGATGGATTCCAGGAAGGGTCAAGTAGGGACACACTCCCAGCAAGCCTGCATTCTCCTCTGGAACTCCCCTCTCCCAAAGGAGGCAGGGAGCTAGGGGGAATGAGGACTCTCTGTTGCCCTTGGGGTTCACCAGAGAGCCTCTGTCAGGGCTGAATCAGGGCTAGGTTTGGGGGGAATGGACTCAGAATCCCAAGGTCTGAAGGCAAAGCCTACTGCTCTTCTCAGGAGAAAATGAGAAACAAGGCCGCCAGCTTCAGGCCACTGTGAGGGCCTTTCCAATGGACTCATAGGCTTTCGGTAACTATCCTGTAGTCTACAGCTGTCCCTGATGGTGCCATAGCTGGGTGGCACAGCTGGATCGGGAGTACAGCATAGGGATCTTCTGGGTTTCTGCTCCACGGTCAATAATACAAACAAAGCCAGCTCAGCCACCCAGCACCTGACATTTAATGGACCCAAGACAGGCTGCATGTGAGCACAAAAGGATTTCCATGTCACAGACAAGAGGCAGGTGCCTGACTCCTCAGGAGGACAGGAAAGGAACCCAAGGAAAAGAACAAAACCCACAATGATCTAAACACTCCCCGGAAGGGATGCAGACTAAGTCATACGACAGCATGCCATGGGCTGATTTTTAAGTCAAGCGGCTTCGATGATTGTGGATATTGAGAAACCTTGCAGCTTGTTTGGTTTCAGGAGAGAGTAAAATTGGTAGTGGGGGTGAGGAGACGGGCACACTTTTTATGGTGTACTTCTACAGAGACCTACATGAGCCACTTCTGCCTTTGGACTGTGTGTAAATGCCATTTAAATAGTTGTTCTACTGGATTGTTAAGAAATAAGGAAAAGAGAAAAACTGCACATACACATTTTCCCCCAAATGTTCTTGGTGTGTGCTGGAGATGAGAAGTATTCTTTCTCAATAATGTTAGTCCTTCAATGGTAGACCTCGGAAGCAACCCATGAGCATAGAGAAGGAACTCTTTTGTTTTTTGTTTTTAAGATTTATTTATTTATTATGTATACAGTGTCCTTCCTGTATGTATCCCTGCAGGGCAGAAGGCACCAGCTCTCATTATAGATGGTTGTGAGCTACCAGGTGGTTGCTGGGAATTGAACTCAGGACCTCTGGAAGAGCAACCAATGCTCTTAACCTCTGAGCCACCTCACCAGCCTGGAGGAACGCTATTTAATTGCCAGGGCATAACATCTAGAATTCTGTTTGGTCTTTCAGTGACCGCTAATGTTTCAGACTGGAGTTGTTCTAGTAGCCAATGAGAACCAAGTCTCTGGCGTTTTAAGACTTGGAGATACAGAGCCTGTTTGTTACTGTGACCTAGTCTAGCCTATCCTGACCGAGACATGGCATCGTTTTATATATATATTTATGTATGTACAGAAAGAGATACTGTTGGGATTTAGTGCAATTGCATCAGAGGGATGGACACCTATTTTTCTCCATATGTCTATGTTGACTTTATTAGTCCTTTGCATATGCTTGAGAGGAAGTCACAGGCAAACTTACCTCATTGGGGAGACCTCATCGATCCGGTTTCCCAGCTGGGACTCGTGGGACTTGCTGCGAGTGAGTGTCGGGAAGTTGGGCAGCAGCTGGAAGACTTTTCGGCTTGGGGGTGGGGGTGTCCTTGGTGGCTTCAGCTTGGTGTGCCGTCGTAGCTGGGGTGTGGTAGGGGGTGTGATGAAGCTGTGCAGGGCCCGGGGGTTCAGCCAGCCACCGGTGTGCAAGGGAATACAGGTGTCCGAGAGGCCCTCACTGAGGCCAGGGACTGGAGAGTCTGAGGCAGGCAGGGCTGACACGGAGACGGAACGAGGGCCCTGAGTGCCAGCACCCGCTCTGCCCAGAGGGGAGAGCGTGTCCACTGAAGAACCGGAACTACTTTCCCGTTGTGCATCTGCCGAACTCCAACCAGAGTCCTCTTTGTGCTCCCCTCCTGTGAGGCAAGGGGTCAGTCAGAAATACAGGAACTCAAGCCCTGCCCTTCTGGGGATAAAATAAGTTCGCTGGGCATGGTGGTGCACCTGGGCAGCACAAAGGTGGGTCTCTCTGAGTTGGCGGCCAGCCTGGCCTACACAGAGAGTTCTAGGCTAGCCAGCACTACACAGTGAGACCCTGTCTTAAAAAAAAAAGAAAAAGAAAAAGAAAAACATTAAGGGTCTGGAGATGTGGCTCAGCAGTCAAGAGCACTGCCTGTTCTTCCAAAGGTCCTGAGTTCAATTCTCAGCAACCACATGATGGCTCACAACCATCTGTAATGAGATCTGGTGCTCTCCTCTGGCCTGCAGGCAGAACACTGCCTAATAAATAAAATCTTTTAAAAAATTAAAAACTGTATGAAACTGGGTGCTTCCCTTTCCATGCCTCAGGAGGGTGGAGATGAAGCAGGCCCAGGTCTCCGAAACCTTTTAAACGAGGCCCTGCTTCCACTCACTGCCTTATCTCAGAGCCTTCTCCAGGCGGTGATGGGAACATTGGGTCAAGACTTGGAAACTGTTTCCAAGGAAAGACATACAATTCCTATGAATAATCCCTGAGGAGATTGCGGGAACGGCAGGATTATACACGGCCTGGGACAGTCCTGGGCACACTCCCAGAAGCTGCACGACTTCTCTAACTATGCCGGGCTCAGGCTACACTGATGCCAGAGGGGCCTTGAGAGCAGAAAGTCGGAACCACCCATAAGGATGGGATCAACAGGAGAACTGGTTAGCGGAGGGACCCTGGGATGCAGGAAGCCAGTGGAGGGGGTTGGAGCAACACAGATGCCTTCCTGTATGTGTGGGAGGCCTGTCATCAGAGCTGTTCTGAGGGCCAACTACGGATTCCTAACAATGGCTGAAGCTTCCTAGGTCAAACTGGCCAGAGCAACTGGGTTCCAAGGCCCTGGACATTCTGAGAGGGTTCCCTCAGGGCCAAGGCCCAGAATACTTTCTCAACAGTCGCACCAGAGCTGCCTCAGAAACCCTGAAGCATATTCCCCGCCTTGTTCTAAGGCCTACTGTGGCAGGAGTCCCACCCCAGGGGACTGGCTGGGCCTAGGAGCAGAGGCAGGAACAGAGGCCTGGGGTAGGGAAGCAAGCCTTTCTTACCCAGGCGGGTCACCTTCCTTAGGCAGGTGAGAGCTTGTTGTAGCCGGCTACACTCCTCAGCACTGGCCCCCCAGCGCCGCAGCATCTCCTTTGCCTTGGACTCGTCCATCTCCAGCAAGGCATCCAGTGTTAGCTCTTGGGGAATCTCCTGCACAGAAGGGACAGGAAGAAAGCTGGGGGAGCGGTGAGGGAGTCTCGGTCCGCTGCTCTGCAGGACAGGCCTCACAGCTGAGTGGCAGGAGCCAGCTGCTGGCTGAACCTCTGACTAGAAGCCACCACTTGTCAGGGACACAGGCAGAGCACTGTCACCCCCACCCTCAGGATCGCAGAAACAGCTGGGGAAGTGGAGAGCCACCTTTGGACTGGGGTTAAGGGGAGGAAGAAAACACCAGGAAGGTCTGCATGGGGACTTGCAGCCTCTTTCTCTCTCTGTTAATTCTTTGGTACAGAAAAGTTAGGAATTGTGACACCTTGGGTAGCCCTTCCCAACTTGATTGTATCTTAATCCTACAAGAGAGATCTCAAACTAAATTGCCTTTAACAGGGATCAAACAACAAAAAGAGCCCTTGACAACAACTGTAGAGGCACTTGCCTGACTTGTATTTAAGTCAAAGTAGGTCAGCTAAAACAGCTACAGCCTGTTAATCCCATCTACTTGGGAGGCTGAAGCAGGATGATCCTAAATTCAAAGCCTGCCTGGATTAGAAAGTGAATTCAAGGCCAGCTAAGACAATTTAGTGAGACTGTGAAGGCTGAGGATGCTGTAGATCAGTTGGTGGAGTATTTGCCTACCATGCACAAAGCCCTGGGGTTCTAGCCCAGGCACCATGTAAACCAGGCCTGGTGGCCTGTGCCTATAATTATAACCCTTAGGAGGCAGGGGCAGATAGATCACAAGCTCAAGGTCATCCCTGCCTACATATGAAGTCTCACCCCAGCCTGGGTTACATGAGACTGTCTACAAGGAGGGTAGGGGTTGGGGAAGCAGGGCTGGATGTGTAGCTCAGTGGTAGAGTATTTGTAGATCACTGGCTCATATTATATCTGGAAAATGAGCCTCAAAGGGCTACACAATTGACAAAATCCCTTGGGTGCCCCAAGATGGAGCTTGCCTTGTCTGCAAACGCGATGACCCAAGTTCAGTCCCCAGAACCCAGATTAAGGTGGAAGAGAACTGACTCCACACGATGATGTTCTCTGACCCTGGCACATACACACTGCAGTGTACCCATGCACACACACCATACACATACAAACATTCATGCTAAACTGAACCTTTAAAAAAGCTATTATTGGGCCAGCAAGATGGTTCAGCAGGTAGGAGTAGCTTGAGGTCAAGCCCGGCAACTTGAGTTTTATTCAGCACTGTTTACAACAGTCCCTGCCACAATGAGAAGGAAACACACAGTACCAAGAAAGATCACCATCGCTGGGCAGACAAACTCTTGGCTGTCAGAAACCAGTCCAACCCACCACGTGAAGACCCACAGGAAACTGCTGTTGACAGTAGCATAGGGAGGAGAGGCTGATTAAAAAAAGGGTTCCCACACAGGAGCCTTCGCTCCCCCTGCCCACCAGCCTTTATTTCACCAGCAACTGTTCTTTATCCAAGTGCAGCTTGGGCATCCTTCCCCTTCATTCTGCCATGGAAAGAAGCCTGATAATATTATGGTGACAGGGACAGGTGACCTTCACCTCCACACAATTGCACTCAACAGTCAGGTGGGACATAGCACACATCTATAATCCAGCTGGGATCTGCATACAAGAGGAGAGCTGAAATGTGAGGCCAGCCAAGCCAAAAGACCACTACACAAAGTAACGGGATGTCCTTAGCAGGTCACCCACAGACACCCATGCACATGCACAAACACTCTGTCAAGAACGCTGACTCAGCAGCTTCCTGGAAGATAAGAGACATCTGGCAACGATGGAGTCAGGCACGGGAACCCCAACCTAACTATAAAGCTAATAGAAAGGGTTTCCCCCCTTTTTCCTTTCATTTTTATCTCCTCTTCACCAACCACACCCTTTCCATTTCTCAAACAAAATACCCACAGGCATTACTATCATCCATTTGCCAGGACAATACACCCATTGCTTTGTGTATGTCATCTCTACTTGAGCTAACTCAGGAAGTCCATCCACTCAGCCCATGAATTAAAGCCTGAAGACCTCACATGACTTAAATGGCAGCCTGTCAGATGCCAGAGCTCCTGCCACTGTCCCACACTGCCGATTGGTAACCTGGAACTCAGAAGCTGCCATCTGACGGAGAGGGCTACTTCCAAATAGCCAATTTCTACCACATTCCAACAGAACCACCCAGTAACGCGGAAGGTCCTTTGTTCTTTACCCAAACAAATTAAGTTTCCTAGAAAGAGAAACAATATGTTCAAATCTACCTTCCTTAATACACACAAAAAAATGTAACAGGAAAAGAAAAATGATTTTTTTAAAAAATAGCTTCAAATTAGCTAGAAGTGTCTCGTTCCTCTCTGAAGCCTGGGGATCAATCTGCTCCCCTGAATAAGGCAGAAGTGTGGCCTTTCTATCCTTCCCTTGCCTTCATGATTTGGGTCAAAACAGTGCTAGAAAATGGGCAAGGGCAAAGCGTGTAGCAGGGACGCTGCGGAAGGAAGCCGCCTCAGAACCCTCCACAAGCTGGAGCCATCCGCCCCTCCAGCATGGTCACTGGCGTTTCCACTTCTAGGGGTGTGAACATGCACCCTCACATCGATGCAATCAGAGCACTCCGTTTTACACCAGTCTGCTGCCATCTTCCTAAGTGACAGTTCTTTCTACCACTTAAATCACCTGAGCATGAGGAGGCAGATAGGGGGTTGGGGGAGACAACCCCACTTCCCAGAAGTTGCAGCAATGGAATTAGTTATCTCTAGACCTATCTTTTTATGATAAGATGTCTTCTACCACAAAGGGCAAGGCTAACCAGAAACCCACCCATTGCTCTCAGTATTATGGGATTGGGGAAAGACAGAAAGGGTGCCAGGACTTAGAACATTAAAAAAAAAAAAAAAAAAAAAAAGAATAAAATCAAAACTGAGCTGCACTTGGAAGCTGGTTTTTGATGGTTTTGTTTCCATTTGTTTACATTTTTAAAATTTAATTTACTTTTATTTTATGTGTTGGGTCCCCTGGAACTGGAGTTACAGAGTTGTGAGTTGCCATGTGGGTGTTGGGAATCGAACCCTGGTCCTCTAGAAGAGAAGTCAGTGCTCTCAACTACTGAGCCATCTCTTCAGCCCTATTTGTTTGCTTTTGAACAGTAATGACACTGTGGATTATCTTTGAATGGTTGTTTTTACTTGGTGGCATTTGTGGACACAGAGCCTGGGGCCTGAGGATGGAGACTGTGGAGGAATGTGGTCCTTCCCAGGCATGGATCTGACCAGTGACTTCTAAAGCCTTTGTTCTGGTGCCACATGTGGCCTTTCATGCAGCAGTGAGCAGGCAATCTCAATGAGCCATCCACCCTGCACATAAAGAGCGGGGTCTTCTGACTCCTAACTGGTTTGGGACCCAATAATAAACGAGAAGTTCTACCAGGCAGGCATGCTTGAGTGTGGGCACTCAGAGAAGAAAGGGAAGTACCTGTGACTGACCAGCCCTCTTAGTGAGATGAGCCTCCCTGAGCATATCCTGGTTCTGTGGTATCGTGCCTGGTGATACCAGTGGTCCTAGTATCATGCCTCAACCAAAACAACTCAAAGCCCCAGACCTCACACACTGATTGATGTGTCTCACCCACCCACTAAGACAGGTACAGCACAGGGGAGTCTGTGTTAGGAAAGGAAGTCGAATCAGTCATTCCCATGTATGCTGGAGAACCAGAAATAGGTAGAGATCAGCCTGCCTCCTGCTGAAGGGGAACTCATGGGGAGAGCCACTGGGAAACCCGCTCTGGCTTGAGAGGCTCCCTGGCTGCCCTCCCACCTGGAGGCCTATGGAAGATGGTCATCTGACAGTTACAAACATCAGCCTCCCTCTGTTATGGCCTGGAGAGCTGGAGAAGGGATGGAGGCTGGCAACCCACACAGGTTCTAAAAGAACTGCTGCTCACTCCAGTTGCTGAGCCAGGATAAAATGTGTTAGCTAGAAGCTTAGAGAAGCCATATGCCCAGCCACAGACCCAATATGCCTTGGGGTTCACATGAGCGGCAGGTACACCAGGAACACCGCCTCCTTGGCGCTGCCATTTTCCCTCAAACCATGACTTACGTTTTCCAGCGAATGACATTAAGTTATCCTTTCTGGTAATAACGAGGAAGCAGGGCCAGTTGCAAACTGAGGTCATCCCAGCCTGTGACAATTAAGCCATGCCATCAACAGGAGCCTGCTTGTCTCTGTTCTCTGTATCCGGAGGCAGGGAAAGTTTTGGCCAAATATGCCCCCACCCCCCAGTCTCCAGCAGCTGGCTGTGGCTGGGGTCACAGGTCACACTGAGTATCAGATGGTATCCTGGGACTTACCAGCAGCCACGGGGCAGCCTGGGTCTATACTTAGAAACTGCTGGCTGACATGGGGAGCCATCCACACACACGTGGGCCAGGGAGAGGGCAGTGGTTATGCTAGGGGCCATTCTGCCTGGCATGAGCCACATACACACAAATGCTCTGTAACTCCAGCCAGAACTGAGGGGACAGTTGGAGTGAGGGCCTAGTTAGGGTGAGCTCTTACCACGGGGAATAAAGGCCGCTCCAAGGAGCTCCAAGGAGGCCTCCTTCCCACCCACCCCTGCTCCAGGCTCCTTAGCAACACACGCCAGTTCCCTTCTGGTTCTTTCCACGACAGCCTGGTATAGCTCTCTGGCTCTGGATTGCACCGGGTGTCACTGTCCAACATCAGTACCACCTACCAGGGCCTGCCTCATAGCAGTCACCCAGCCCTACTTCCCCACACACAGAAAGAATGGCCCCTTCCACTTAGCCATGGCTACTCACACTCATCCCAGTGTCAACATATAAATGAGTAGGTGTGGCCATATTCAAATGATATTCAGGGACACTCAAACTTGAATTTTATATCATTTTCATTTGTTATAAAATATTCTGTGCCCCCCCACCAGAAAAGTCTTCATTCTTTAAACAACAGTGGGCTAGATTTGGCCTGTGGACCACAGCTCTTTG